ATTGCACGAGAGAAAACGGACACGTGAGTCCAGACCCGGGCAGCAGGTCCGTGGCAGAGCCTATTGTGACTGCTAGGTCCTGGGCACTAATTCATGACATCATGCCGTCTCCCTCGAAAGGTGGGAGTGGGAACTGATAGCAGCAGTGCACTGTGATATGAACACAGGAACACAGGAGACCCGAACCCAGGTTAATATATATATATATTATATATTTAATATATATATTAATATATAATATATATATATTAAATTTGTGATCCTCCTGCCACAGCCCCGTAAGCACACGTCACCACGCCCACCTTCCTTTTATAATCCCTAAAAGCGTAAGTGACTTCTCTCATAGTCGCTAACTTTAACAAGCCTTATTTCTCCTTATTGTGTCATGACTCTGATTCTGCAGTCAGTCACTGCCAAATTCTCGAAGCGTGCAGTCCCGAGACGCTGCCTTTCCCACCCCTGGAATGACTGCTCCTGGGTCACCCGCGCCGGTGGCGGCCGAGTGGACTTACCATGGGCGACAAGGGGGTGTCCAGGCTGGTCTCAGTCTTACTGTCGTCTGCATCGCTGTCCTTGTCGCTGCTGCTGTCGTTGACAAAGCATATCTGAAGGTTCATCCCGCTCTGCAGTCTGGGCGGAAACAAACAGGACACCCGCTCGACTTAGCCGTTCGGTATCTGGCTGTAGCTCGTTAAACTGAGTTTACTAACAGAAAACAGTCATTGTTCTTCACGTGGAGAAGTAAGTGATCCAAATCATTCTACATTTCCTTTGTTGTTGAGACAGGGTTTTGCTATGCAGCCCAGGCTGGCAATCCCGCCTCAGCCTATTCTCTCCTGAATCTTACGAGAGGACCTCCCAGGATTCCACTCTTTTTTTTCCACACCAGTCTGGTTTTAAAGTTATATGTTATAGCACCCCGTGAATAGCAAACACATAGTTGGCTCATACACAAAGATGTTCTGTGTTTCCAATTCTGTCCATCAAGATGAAAAAGACTTCTTCAGCCAATAACATGTGTGGTGTTATTTAGGATTCTGTTTAAAAGGATAGCCCAGAGACGCTCACCAGTAGGCCAAGACTACAGCTCTCTGCAGAAAGCCTCCTTCCCCTCCAGTAAGACAGGATCACTTGAAGGAAACCTTTACTAAAGCAGTTTCCAAACACCAACAGAGAAAGCTCACTTACGTCTCTTAAAGACGAAAACACCGTGGGTTCGTCAACCCCAGGAAACGTAAGGAAATCCCAAGGTGTTCAGTCTTAGAATACGTGTGCTTCTGTGCACCTTCTCCCACACCCAGCAGTTCGAGACCAGCCACCTCTCCAGAGCTCATTACACCAGGATTCTGAAGGATGCTCCTGGCAGTGGAGTCAGAAAGGGCAAACGCTGGCGATGAACGTAGCCAGCCCGTGGGCTCAGCTCTAGGTCCTGACCGGCCTTTGAAGGTGAGCCACATTTGGTGCTTCTCAGTGTCTCTAATACCCCAGTCTTGTGGAGAAGCAGGTCTCATAGAGGGGGAGGCTACCACCGTGAGCCAGTCTAAGCCAGCTTTGGGGCAGAGGGTACCGAATTTGCTCTGGTGTCATTACGGCCACAGGGAGCTAATCTAACATCTGACATTTGTGTATGCTTTTATTTACTTTAATGATGGAGAAACTTTGCACGCATTGCTCCTATGACTGATTTAAAAATGTTTATTTGATTGAAAACACAGGATCCGCCCATTTGGACTGCATTGCAATTAGGACAGGTATGTACTGCCACCTATTGTTAAATTCTACAATTACACAAGCTCGAGCTTACTTATTTTCCCTTCAAGAAAAGGTAGCCGCTCTCCGGCATTATTAGCTTCTTTCAATCTTCCCAACACAGACAAGGAGCCCAGGCCCAGGGCTGCAGGGAAGCAGACCACAGGTTCTGAGTTGACAGTGGGTTCCCGATCTTGAGTGTGTTCAGAGCTGGGCACGAGGTAGGTGCTCCGTACATATGAACTACTTTCTTTTCTCCACTTTCTGGAAGCTGGGCAAAGGGATGGAGACCCCTGGAGCTAATACGGCCTTCTAAAGGGATCTCCGGGGTCCCTAACACTTCTCACCCATTCCCAGCAATCCCTGATGCAGTCAGCCTTCTGAGCTGTCGGTAACTAGTAAGCAGCTGCCCTCCAGGTGTGCTGGGACACGCCTCCCTCAAACTTTCCCCATCAACGATCAGGTTTCCCCCGATCCAGACAAGTCAAATTTAATACATTTGTGATATCTGTAGTTCATCTAAAAAGTGGAACCAAGCAATTTCTAACAATAAAATCAGTTTTATTTTTGATTTGGTTTGGAAGGCAACAGCAAAGACAAACAGAGAAGGGACAGACACATCTTAAGGGCTAATCTCTCCTGAACCTAGGATTACGTAGCATTCTGAGATATGCACAAGGCCTCAAGAGATCCCAGATATCTGGCTGCCGGAGATAAAGATTGTAAAAATATAAAACAACCAGCAAACGGCACCACAAAACCAAGTTAAAGATGCCCAAGGACAAATATCTTCCTTCTGAAGAAAATGTGATTAAATTTCTGCAGCTCTGCCCCAAACCGGTCAACCACCCCCCAAGGAGCATCTAACCCGGGAGAGTTAAGAGGAAAGACTTAGCAGCTGGGGGAAGTGGAGGAACGCCTCAGGTACAAATGCAGAAAAACCCCTTAGTGGCACAGTAATCCCATGGGAAACTGAAGGGCGCTTGGGCGGGTCGGGTGGCTTGTAATTCCTTACAGTGGTAATCGCCAAGAATGTTACTCGAAGGAATGATGTGACATCATAGCTGATTCAGAGAAGGTTTTAGTAAAGACATCTTAAATGGGCTCCCGTTTCAAGAGGGATTTGTTTGCCTTTAGCCTTTAATCGCATTTTAGGAGGGAGCCAGCTCAAGGTAAACTCAACCACAGTCCCTAAGCAAGACTGGCTGTGGGGTGATGGGGGCCACTAGGTCTTCTAAAGGCCTCTGTGCCACGGAGATAATCCCCATTCCAGTCTTGCAGCCTGGCAGTGAGATATGCAGCTGTCTGAAAGGTTTACTTCTGAAGACTCCACTTCCCTGGGTTTCCAGCCTCATGCAGCCTCGCTTACAAGTACCGTAAACTTCACTCTGGGTCTCTGCGTCCTTGGTCTCTCGAGCACAGTGCCAAGGGAAAACAATATTTCAAAGTATCCCATTCAGGATCATTGGATGTTTTAAAAAAGACTTATTTGCGTGTTTGTGTCTATGTGAGTATATATACACAGGAGTGTGAGCGTCTGTGGAAGCCATAAGGGGGTGCCAGACTCCTTGAAGACTGCAGGCATCTGAGGGCCACTAGAAATGGGTGCTGGGATCTGATCTGGTCTGAACCATTGCGCTAAGTCCTTTAATTGATGTTCTGAGGTACTTAGCAGAACACTGCATAGAAACTCCATTGGTAATCTGTCTTGCTGGCTGATGGCTGGGCTGGGGGCGGGAGGGGAATCGCATGGGGAGATTCAGCTGCCCTGTCTTCCAGCCAGAAGACCAGCTCTTAATAGGTCTGTGCTGACTTCAGATGCAGTTGTGAGGAATGTTATTAAAACATGCACGGGACTGGAGGACAGCAGTCAGAAAGTTCTTTGCTCCCAAAGGAGATCTCAAAACACAGCCAGTGCTAGACAATTTAGTAAAACACCACACCACCAAAACCCCAAACTCAAAAACAGCTCTTCAGGCACGGTGACACATCCCCATAATCCTAGCAGAGGAACCAGAGGCAGGAAGGTTGAGAGCTGAGACCATCCTGGGCTGCATGAGGAGTTCCAATCTCTAAAAGCCAAGGAATTGGCATACAGATCAGTGGTAGAACACTTGCTTAGGATGTGCAAGGCCCTAGGTCTGATTGCTAGTGCTGGGTGGGGGGCAGTGAATTTTAATTTTATTTCATTAAAAATACAGATACAAGACTAAGGTTCTCCAGAGAGAAACAACTTCATGGTTCTAAACTTTGCTGGTGACTTCCAGAAGGGCAGAAAGGATTGTAAAGCAGGTCTTGTCCTTGGTGTTAGGCTGGGGTGATTAAGGGCTGGTGTGAGCTCTGAAGCCCGGAGTTTCTCCTTGTTTTCTGGTTCCAGAAATGAGAATCTGGCTTAGGCATCAATACACAAAAATGTAAGATTCTGTGTATATGTGCACAAGCGTGTCGAGTTCACATGTGGAGGTCAGAGGAGGTTTTCCTCTATCTCTATTTATTTTATTCTTTTGAGTCAGGGTCTCTCACTGAACCCGAAGTTTTGACGAGGCTGGCTGGCTAGTGAACTCCCAGGTTCTACCTACCTTCAGGCCTCCCATACTGGGGTTAGAGACATTGCTGTCATGCCCAGCTTTTATGTGGGTGCTGGGGATTTGAACTTGGGTTTTCACACTTGCACAGCAATCACCCTCACTCACTGAGCCATCTCCTCGACCCATTTTTATGATTCTCTTAAGACTTCATGGTCTTCTCTTGTGCCCTTACTCTGCCATCACTCTCTGAACGGGTTCTCCTGCTGGTGGATGTGTGAGTGATTCATCTCAGAGCTCCAGGAACACACGAGAGCTCTTTCTGACAAGAGCAGTCAAGGGACCTCAGTGACCTCTAGCGGACTGCAGATGCTTAAGTCCAACACAGATGGGCAGAGCTGCCCAGCTAATGGCAGGCTCCCGAGCAGAGCTAAACACTTACCTTGTGTGCTACTGATGGCCGCACATTTCACTATGCATCATCATTGTGGCGATGGGTAAATGGCTCAAGGTTGCAGAACGGGAGATCTCATGCTGGACTTCTGATTTTTTTAATCCAGTGGCATTTCTCCCATGCTACTCTTAATAGTGGGTTTTAATTTACTAGACCCTGCCTGTGTCTGGCAGCGTAATTTTACAGGGCTCATGCCTCCTACCGTTGCTCATAGTTCCAAGGGAATTGTACGGCTTCACTCAGGAAACAGAGCAAGAAAGAACTTCCATGTGCCCATGGATTTCGAGCTTGCATTGCTCATTAACTGTCTACAGCCAGTGAGGCTTGTGAGTCACAGCCATGCTGTGCCATTCATAACTCAACATCTCCAACTAGTTTGCAGCCAAGCTGGAAGAACACATTATTTCCATTTATTTGAATGGATCTTTGATGCATTATTCAAAGGTTTTATACATAATGAATAATCACCCGTACTTTTCATGCCATTTTTCTGTTTCATATTGATTTCAAAGGGGATAGAGCATAAAATATGGATTATAACTACCCAAGGGTCTATATAAATGCGTTTCATTTTTCTGGGACTACGTCACAGTGAATGTGAGAACAACAGAGTTTTGGGTAAGCTTTAGCTACACTCTATGTGGGACTGTGGTAGGTCCAGAGGAGGCACCACTGCTTTGTAAAGAACTGCGAACTATTTCTCCATCCCACAGTTTGCCTCTTTCTTTCCCCATTGACTGTGTTTGTAGACATTTACCTTGAGAACTGGACAAATTCCTATTGATGTCTTAAAAAATGGTGAAAAAGGAACATGGTTTCTATTTTTCCACATTTGTTATGAAAATACAATGCTATGTCTTATTTTATTCTAGCAGGATTGTGTAAACTTCCTCTTGCTGTGA